AGACGAGGCGTAAGGAATGACCATACCCATGGTCCTAAGCATCACCCATCGCAGGATAAAGGCGGTTGATACAATAGCCGTAATACATCCGCCCATACGCAACAAGTGGGAATAAAACCACGAGTACGAGAAGGTACTCAACTAGACTTACCCGACATAACCGAAAATAAATGACACCAAGGATTATGAATGCTTTATAGTAGGGTAGTGACTCATTTGCAAAAGAAGCATTTTAGCATTTTAAGAACCTTTCTAAAAGCATTATTGTCAAGTTAATTATTATTAACTCCGTCGACTAGATTTGCATCTATACTAGAGTAAACATGTGATTAAGCAATTAATGATAACCACCGATCATTAAACAACTTTCATATTGTCATATTCACTATAAGCGTCCAAGTGTTCCATAAACATTTACTACGATGAAGTCACTCAAGTCAAGTGCTCACTATCCGGGAGCGATGGCGATTCGAATCGATTCCTAACCAAACGGTGGTGATTTATTCCTTACACAAATCTCACTCACCCGCTAAAGTGAGATATTGATCACCGAGTCAACTTTTCGGTATCTCGAGTTTGCCAGAACCACATGTACCCGAGGGCCGACCGATCGCACTTTGGTCTTATCATCCCGCCCGTGTCCTACCACACGCCCGACACAAGGCGTCATGGGCAATCTACTCGCCCAAAAATCTCCCGGCCAGCGGTCGGAAGGTACTTTATCCGCCGACTAAATGTAAGGCATGCGTTCAACATGACTCGAGGCCCAACAACGGTCGGTCCTTAATCGACATGACGGAAACACTACAATCCAAAACTCGCAAGTCTCCGTCCGGTCTCAACTTCATTTAACACTTAGTTATACCATGACTTCATAGTCATCCAAGCAGATCCGTGTAACCACCTATAGCTCGCGGTGACAGAAATCACCCGACTTCTACCGGTCTAAGCCGCCTAAGCATTGACTCATTGCGGATACCGAGGTAACAAGGATATAGTATAACAAAGGTAAACAAGGTATAATGCAAACAACGGTTGCAAACAACTCTGAACGTAATGCATCAATTAAAGTAAAGCATTTAATGAAATCATTGCAAACCGGAGAAAGATGCTCGGGGCTTGCCTCTCTCGAAGGAGCTCGAGGCGGTGATCGGGGCACTCCGGGAAGTTCTTCAACGTCCTCCTCGTCGGCTTCGGCACTTCTGCGCTGCACTCGAATCGCTCCTCGGGCTCCTCGGGTATGACGACTGGGTTCTCGGTTTGCGATCTGTATGATGCAATGTGTGTAAGTGCCTATGCAATCGATTGCATCGGATGAGATGAATACAATGGATATGTTCGAATGCAAGGTGGTCAACATCATCTAAGAATATATACTACAAGCACATGTCATCTACTGCATTCTCTTCTATTACAAATATGTTTAAGTCAACACCCTTATCAAATGCTTCAAAGATACACCAAAGCTATTATTATTAACTAATCTCGTATTAAAGAGGATTATTTTATTTCCTTTTAAAACTAGGGCTACAACAGTAACCTACATTTCTGGTGCTTATAAAAATCTAAGAAAATTACAGTAGCATAGTACTACTCTAAGTTGACTACCATAAAATTTTCATAGCATTTGGATCAGTAAAATAGGCTACACAAAAATGACAAGTTATGGCATGACAATGAACATGAAAATACTTTGTACTGTGAAAAGTTTCAAACAACAGAATTAGAATTTTTCCTATGTTCTACATAGCATACAATAACTGTACAAAAATTGTCACATGCATGTTTTATACAAAATTTGTGCTCTAGCAAAAATAACAAAAATCAGCCATTAAAGGTACTTGAACTACACCTCAAAATTTTCCCACAGCACATGCATGAAGCATATTTTTCCTAGGAAGTACATGGCATAAGAAGATTAACAAACTTGGAATCATAATTTTCTGAAGCCTATAGATTTTTCTACACATTTTTCAAGTTATCAGCAATATACATGATTAAATAAAATCCTACAGAAAAGTATCACAAAAATGACATGCAATATTTTTCCCAAGTAGATCTGGTGATAAGGAACCTAACAAAATTTGTTCCAACCAATTTGGAGCTAAAAGGAGTACACAACCATTTTCTAAAGCATTTAAATAGAATTCTAAAAAATCGTTTTTGAAATTCATGCTCAAAACTGCTAGATACACCCGGCTATCCACCCACAACCCGCGCCAGAGAGACAGACAGGCAGGACCCAGCGGGTCACCCGGCCCCACTGGTCAGCCGACCGGAGGCAGGGGATGGCCTTGCCCGGCCGGATTTTCACCGGCGGTGAGGTCGCCGGCGGTGTGGTTGCTACCTACGGACTCCACAGGGGAGGCGACTTTTCTTTGGTGCTACTTTGCCTCCCAGAGGACCCCAGAGCGAGGTGACCGATGGTCATGGCGTGCGGTGGCGCCGCAGGAGGGCGGTCTTGAACCTGTTCGGCGCAAAAAAGGTGGCCGGGAGCGGTGATTTTCGGCTCATGATCGAAGCCGCCGCCATGCTAGGCGTAACGCAGCGCTAAAAATAGGAAGAGAGGAAGGCGGAGCGGGGCTGGCCACGGAGGAGGGCGGGCGTGAGCTCCCGTGAGTGACGGCGTGAAGGAAAACTCAAAGGCGAGGCCTCACCTTTGGTCGATTCACGAGGCGAAGCGGGTCAACAAATGGCCGCGAGATGGCGATGTTTTGTGGCGCGAGAAGGCGGGAATGGTGCGGTGGTGGGGTGGGGTGGGCAATGAAGCGGCGGCGGCGGCGCGCTGAAGCTAAGCGCTTCTTCTTCTGCCGTCGCTTGAGTAGGAGGGAGCGAGCGGAATGAGGCGAGTGGGGAGCTGGGCGTGGCGGGCAGCTTTTTTAAGCGAGGCGAAGCGGTGGGACCCGCAGGAGCGCCACCCGGCGGGCGGCGCCGGCGTCTGATCACGCACTGTGGTGTAAGCCATCGCTGAAAGCTTGATCGTCGGGCACATGGGAGGGAGGGAGGCCGAGTTAGGCCGGGCCGGCTTGCGAACTGGGCCGGGAAGTGAGGCGCAAGGCCCACGAAGGTAAAAACAAGATTTTTCAAATTAATTTGAATTCCTTTTTCATTCAAACGAATTTTTGGACTAAATCAAAGCAGTTTCAAACTTTGGACCAAAAATAAAAGTTGCTCAAAATTTTATCCTCTACAACTTTGATTTTAAGAACAACGTCCAATTTATTATAGATTTTGAATTATAAAATTAAAGTCAATTTTGACTCAAACCCTAATTTTTGGAGAATTATTTTTAAAGCAAAATTTGGCAATAATTCAAATACAAACCTTGCTCCAAAAATTGTGATAAACAATTCTAGATGATTTACAACAGTAGCCAAACATGTTTTGCTAATCTAGCAAGAAAAATTTAGGGTAAAACAATCCTTGAACAGGTGTATGCAACATCTAGGTTTCACGCATGTTTCAGATGTTTCGAAGCAATGTTTCAATTATTATTCACACGATTAGGCATATATGATTATTATGCTTTATGATGCATGACATGCGTGATTTGCACTGCCTAAATGCAGACATAACACCGGGGTGTTACACCAGCCAACGTTTGGCCTCCTCCCACCACTTGAGTCTTGAGCAACAGTAGGCTAATCTCTTCCAGTCCATTGGTCCAGGTCAGTCAATGGCTCTACTCTGCACATATTTTCTCTGTTATATATATACTATATATGGTGCATTTTATATAATCACGTTGCGTATATGTCCATACTTATTTATCAGTTTGAGTATGTTGACGTACTAATATTAAGATACTCCAGATCTTTACTATGTGATTTTTTTTCAAAAGAGCACATATTTTTTAATATATTTTATAATACTATGCTAGTAGCATATAAAATAAGTATAACCATATACTCTAAGTATACATACATACATGTCATACATAGTACCCTAGATGGTCTAGTATGATGATATACTTCATCTACATACATTTTGTCGGGCCATATACGTCCTAAATCTAGAGATATATATATGGGAGTAACTACTCTCTGAAAGTAGAAAATAATTTATATATATATATATATAACCAAGACACACACAGGATCATAGTCCTTTTTTCCCAGTAATACAATGCAAGCGAGATGACGGCAAATAATATATTTATTCATAACCAAACACACACGCTTATTATAGTCCTTTTCCCCCCAATTAATAATGCCAGCGAGGTGATGGCAACTAATTCGGGCACCAGTTTCTCATATTTTTTTAGTTTTGATTGACGATTCTGAGAATCTCTCTAAGAAAAAGATATATTTGTGACCCTCGTACAGGACAAGATGAGAGCATAGCACACCTTACTTCTCGACCTCATGGAACCATTGACTTGCAGCTAATTAGTGGACACAATGCAATTTGAGTTATACTAATACACCGACAGTTAATTACTTCTCGACCTCATGGAACCATTGACTTGCAGCTAATTAGTGGACACACTTGCAGTTAATTACTTCTACGGCTCTGCGTACGGACGGCACGGACCACCGTATCCCCCGACACACTGCATTCCAGTGTGCAGCCCAAACAAGCCCAACCATTCCCGAGGTCTTGGCCCAGCCAGAAATGAGGTGAAGTAGCCCAAAATTATTCGGCCGGCCCAGGCCCAGAGAAGCTGTCATTGTTTTATTTATTTTCATATAGGTGGGGATATTATCACCACTAGTACAATATATAAAATGAAAAAAATATCGAACAAGAAGCTTAATGTTTTTATTAATAATTCTATATAATCATTTCCTACACATTGAACTAGATGAACATCAAGCACTACGTACATGTGAAGACAAATACTGTAGTAAAAATTTGCAACAATCTACTGTAGTAATCAAATTACAATGACAGGACATATAAAGGTACCAGCAAGGATATACATACTACAACAAATACGGTATCGATGTGTATGGCGCGCGCGGATTAATCAATGGGATTAATAATCACTATAATAAAAATCAATTGATGAATCTTGGCGCGGGCAGCGCCGGCGCCGGCGCGTCGCCGGCGCCGGTGGCGCGCTTGATGAGCGCGTTCGCGACGCGCATGACCGCCTCGAAGTCCCTGTTCTTGGCTAGCAGCGCGGCCTTGATGGGCGTGTTTGGGGCGTGCTTGCAGGACTCGTCGCAGGACCACGTGTCCTCCTCCGCCGTGTCCAGGAACTGCTTCACGTCGCGGAGCTTGCCGTCGTCGAGGCCGCCCTCGGTGTCGTCCAGGTGGTCCAGCGCCTCCTCGATGTCCTCGGCGCACTCGTTCAGGCACTGCCACATGAGGTTGTCCTTGACCACGTTCAACTCGTGCCGCGCGTAGTCGCCCACCGCGCCGCCAGCGGTCGACGCCGCGCGGAGTGCCGCCTCCGCAAGGTCCCGCGGGGTGGCCGCCGAGGCCTTGATGCTGTGGTCGGCCTGGAGCGCGCGCAGGCACACGTCCGGGTGCGGCGTCGCGGCGCACGACGCCTTGAGGTCCACGCCGCCACTGACGCCGACGCCCGCGGCGCGAACGCCTAGGGACACGGAGAGGAACAGCGCGATGACAACGGCCAGGAGGGAGCCGCAGTACCAGCTCATGGCCGACCTCGCCTCCATCGCCGTGTATATGCTCGCTCGATGGATCGGATCGGAGACGCTTGCTTCTCGGGGCGACCGGGCCGGTGGGCGGCGAGAAGAAATAGCTAGTAGTAGCTAGAATGCACGGCTGGCATGCGGGTACACGTATATATGCGCGGTGGTTCCATGGATGGAGCCGCCGAGGAGGCCGCGCCACCATCTCCTACGCACCTGCGGCCGGGAGCGTTTTGCGAGCCAACTGCATCTGAAAATGCATCGGCATCGGCCGGCTCCATCGGTTGCCTTGCCTCCATGCACGGGCGGGCGGCGTGTGTGTGACCGACGTGTAATTTTGCTAGTACTCGGCGGCTACTCCCAATGTGTTATATTATGGGTTTATTTAAACATCACAGTTTTCCTTGACGTGGCACATATATTGTATAGAGTTAAAATGAAACAGTGAATATTGAAGCTATATCTTCTAGAGAGAGAGAGAGAGTTTGCGCTCGATATCCAAAACTAAAAACCCACACCTAGAATGTGTTGCCCACGAATGGTATATTTTTTACAAGTAAAATTAACGTGTGGTCTTCAAACTTAGCAAAGGAGTCATCCCAGTCCTTCAACTCATAAAAAGGCATTTTGATTATCTAAACTTAGGCTCTCAATGTCATCTAGTTTCCTAGCTCAGGAAACGCCATTTCCACACTCCTCTTTTTTTCTGTGAATTTTTTCACACTCCTCATCTTAGTTACCGGTGTTATCTAAGTCCAAACGGGTGCCGACCTACTCCCAACATTGACGTGAATCAAGCTCAACATGTTAGACCCATCTCTCTCTCTCTCTCTCTCTCTCTCTCTCCATTGTCTGCGGCTCACCATGCTAGTGCCCTCAACTTTTCTTCCTTGTTCTCGTGTTCTCCTTCCTCTCCACGACTCTATCCGTCCAATATCAACAACAAATAGATATAACTAACCATCCCACATCGCCACTGGAGGAGAGAGGAGTGGTGGACCCAACATGTGGGCCACCACATGTCGTCAGTCCACGTTAATGGAAAGTTAGCATATGCCACATTGCCACATCACCGCATGGAGGAGGATCAGGACTAGTTTCAACACGGTTGACTCATTAAGCCAATCTAGGACCTACAATGACAATTTCCTGAGTTTGGAACTTCGAACCACTGGGAGTCAAGTTTAATAACTGAAAAATCACATTTCTTGAGTGGGAGGGCCAACCCCCTCCTCCTCACCCCCCCAACCACCACCAAGTTTGAGGGCTGGTGGCTCATGGATTTTACTCGTTTTCTTGCTAGGTGTCCCGTTGCATTTTCCTGATATAGCCCTCCTCGAGGCACACGAGACAATGCCTTTTTATCGGGCATATCATGGAAGGAAATTTGATGATGTGTCGTTACATGATTTATAACTAAGTTTAGGTTTTGTCTTCATTGAGCTATGTATAATCTTATATCCTGGATGAGTAAAAACAAGCGTAGCTAATACAATGAGATGAGATGACGAGTGTCTAAGTGATTACATTGATAGATGTAGTGAGCCTGGATCAAGACAAGTGGATCCATACGTAGTGGATGCAAATCATCTACCATGCGTATAGGGAGAACCTCGACTTGGGAACACCCATATGGTGGTGGGCCCTCATGCAAGCAACCATACGGTCCTTTTTGCTAGAGCTCCCCCTGCTCCAAATTAATTATTTGTGGAAGCTGATTTTATGAGAGAAGTGATTCTATAGGATAAACTCTATACATACAATGACTCTATGCGTGAAGTAAATCAGGAGAAACTACTTTTTTTAGCTCTCACATTTTAGTTTATTTATGGGAATTACTTCACATAATCAATATAGAATCACTTCCTCCTAGATTTAACCTGGAAGTTGCTCTAGGAGCTCTACCAAACAGAGTTGTCATTTATATATGAACATTATATTTGTATAGCCACAGTGGAACTTTGCTCTGACAAAATAGAAAAAAAAATCCCCCCTCCATCCTTATTCCTTAACAACATATTGTCACTCTAGACTGATCGAGGGAGTGTAACCTTGCTATACATATTAATACATATTAATCCGTTACAATGACATTTGTTTTAATAATAATATATATAGGGGAAAGAGTACTATGTTGTACAAGAAATGCAACAACGGTATAATAACAGGTTAAACATGCGCCGATCCGATGATGCAGCACGCTGCACGCATATATACGTCTTCTCAGGCTGCCGCGGGGCGATTACGAGAAGCATCGGTGAGGGACATGGCGATGGAGCACATCTTGCCGAGGTCACCGATCTTGTCGACGATCTGCATCTCGCCGCCGCCCTCCACCTTCTGGCAGTCGTTCATGCACGTGTCGCCGTCGATCTTCGCCGCCGAGAGCCACGTGTTCACGGCGCCCACGTCCTTGGCCTCCTCCACCGCCACCTTGGACCGCTGCAGGTCGGCCAGCGCCCCCTGGAACTTGGCTAAGCACTCGTTCAGGCACACCGGCGGCATGCCCCCCGGCGTGCTCTCCAGGCCCTTGACGAACGCCACCGTCTCCGTGCCCACCTGCGCCGCCTGCGACAGCGACAGCTCCGCCAGCCCCGCCAGGCCGCCCTGCTCGGCCGCCGCCTTCGCCTCCGGCTTCGCGGACGACAGGGACTTCACGCACAGCTCCGGGTACTTGGTGTGCTGCTTGCACGCCTCATCCACGGTGACCGTGGCGGCGGCGGCGCGCCGGAGGGAGACCGAGACGACGGCGAGGACGACGATGAGGACGCGAAGGCTGGCAGCCATGTTGACGATCCGCACGAGCGATGGCGATGGCATACAGGAAACGCGAAATCCTTGTCTCATGGTGGGCTGGACCATTAATTCCACTGGAGGTGTTCTTCTCTTGTAGCGTGAGGCCAGGGAGGTTTGCAGCAGCTGCATGCATGCAAGGCCGAGCGTACGGACGACGTTCACGGCCAACGGTCAACGCGCAAACGGTTTCAAACTTTGACCGGTTAAATTTACTCCGTTGGTGCTACGGTGGTGGCCGCCTTTGTTCCGTTGTTCGGCTCCGGTTTACTGTAGGAAGAAACTAGCTGTTATTATTTCTGCAGCGCTGCGGCTGCTAGCTGGTCACTAGCCAAAAGCATCAACACTTCTTTTCAGAGGCCCTTATCCCTTCTCTTGTAATTCATCTTTTTTAGCTTGTTTTTTTTAGCTGTAACAGTGTTTTTCTCTCACAACAAATCAGCCGGAACAGTATTTCGGCATTTTTTTTTTAGCGAAGTAAACGGGATGTGGTGCAGCACTGCAGCAGTAAAAATCACATCCGATCACCCTAGCGCCAAATAATGTTACGCCAAACAGACTCAGCTTGGTAAGGCCGTGAATGACTTCAAATAAAAGACGAGGGAATTCCTTATTTGACACCAGAGAAATGATCCGATTCTTTCTTGGCCCTTAAAAAAATTTCGTTCCCTATTTAACACCGAGTTCAACTTTCGTTCCTTACATGACACTCCGTAGCATTTTCCATCCGGCCACCGTTAACTGCGCTGTGAAAAGACGATTTTGCCCCTATGGGCCCCACCACCCTTCTCCCTCCTCTCCTCCTCCAGGCCGCCGCGTCCTCCCCCAGGAGACTAGGATGTGGTCGCCGCCGTCGAGGTCCACCTTCTCGGTGCCGCGGAACTTCCAGCGCAGGCGGCGGACGTGGAGCACGCGATCGCCGTCGACGCAGACGGACATGCCGACCCTCGGCCCCGTCTCCCGCCCCCCGCGGCTGCCGCCTGGCGGCGGCGCGCGAGACGAGATCCACCGAAATCTCCCGGCCGCTTGCCGCAGACGACGACGCAGTCCGGTGTTCGCGTCCTCCGCCGTCGCAAGATGGATACGTCTTTCATGGCGCGAGACGAGGGACGGGCCCGCCCGGCGGGCATCGCGCTTGGTCTTCTCAGAGGCCTCCTCCGCCATGTACCGCCGCGACGACCGCCATCTCGCCGTCCACCACGACGGCGACGGTACCACGCGGAGGGCTTCGGGAGCCGCCCGAGGGCGGAAGCGCGCTGGAGAGGTCCTAGGCCAAGTCCACCACGCGCGGCCCCGCTGCGTGGAAGCGCTTGGACCAGCGCCGCCGCCACAAAGCCAAGAGCCACCACGCCACACGCCAAGACGGGCCACCGCCGCCTCCCTCGTCGTCGCACTTCGCCGCCGCCGTCGTCGTCAGACGCCTCCAGCGGAGGGGACGCGAGCACAAAGACGGAGGTTGAGCCCGGTAGCGGCACGCGACCAGATAGCGCCTTCTGCGCGCGGAGAGGAGGGAGAAGAGGGAATTCCTTATTTGACACCAGAGAAATGACCTGTTCCTTTCTTGGCCCTCAAAAAAATTTCGTTCCCTATTTGACATCGAGTTCAACTTTCGTTCCTTACATGACACTCCGTTGCATTTTTCATCCGGCCACCGTTAACTGCGCTGTGAAAAGACGATTTTGCCCCTGTGGGCCCCACCACCCTTCTCCCTCCTCTCCTCCTCCATGCCGCCGCGTCCTCCCCCAGGAGACTAGGACGCGGTCGCCGCCGCCGAGGTCCACCTTCTCGGTGCCGCGGAACTTCCAACATGGCGGCGGACGTGGAGCACGCGATCGCCGTCGACGGAGACAGGCATGCCGACCTCGCCCTGCCCCGCTCTCGCCCCCAGCCGCTGGGCGGCGGCGCGAGACGAGATCCACCGAAATCTCCTCATTGCTTGCAGCGCCGACGACGACGCAGAGTCCGGTGCCGCGTCCTCCTCCATTGTCGCAAGATGGATACCGTGCTTTCATGGCGCGAGACGAGGACGGGCCCGGCCCGGCGGCAAGCGTCCGCGCCTTGGTCTTCTGTAGGCCTCCTCCGCCATGTCCCCGCGACGATCGCCATCTCGCCGCCCACCACGATGGCGACGAAGTACCGCGAGAGGGCTCGGGAGCCGCCCGAGGGCGGAAGCGCGTCTTGGAGAGGTCCTGTGCCAGTCCACCACGCGGTGGCCCCGCGCACGCTGAAGCGCTTGGACGCCGCCGCCACACAGCCCCGGCCGACGCCAAGACGGCTACTACCGCCGCCTCGTCGTCGACTTTTCGCCGCCCGCGTCCGCTTGGACGCCGCCGTGGAGGGGACGCGGAGCATGGCGCGAAGGCTGAGCCCCAGCGCGTGACCAGGATAGCGCTGCGGCACGGAGGAGAGGAGGGAGAAGGGTGGTGGGGCCCACAGGGGCAAAATCGTCTTTTCAGAGCGCAGTTAACGGTGGCCGGATGGAAAATGCAACGGAGTGTCACGTAAGGAATGAAAGTTAAACTCGGTGTCAAATAGGAAACGAAATTTTTTTGAGGGCCAAGAAAGGAACGGGTCATTTATCTGGTGTCAGATAAGGAATTCTCTCGAGGGAGAAGGGTGGTGGGGCCCACAGGGGCAAAATCGTCTTTTTAGAGCGCAGTTAACGGTGGCCGGATGGAAAATGCAACGGAGTGTCACGTAAGGAATGAAAGTTAAATTCAATGTCAAATAGGGAACAAAAAAATTTTGAGGGCCAAAAAAGGAACGGGTCATTTGTCTAGTGTTAGATAAGGAATTCTCTCATAAAAGATAGAAATTAAAGTAGGCATGGATGATATGTATATAGCCACGAGTAGATGCTGAATTTTTTAATTCTGGATTTACTTTATTTTTTCATTGAAATTTTTTGTTTGATTATTATTTATACATTGTTATTATGCATTTATTTATTTTTAAGGATCTGGTTTTGCCATAGGGTAACAAGTCCAAAGGCAAATTTGCAGATGTCTTCCATGGACTGGTTCCCTAAATTCTGAATTGCTTTCCATAGAAAATTTTCAAATACTTGGATTATGAAACTCAGCTACTTTCAGTTGAAATGAATCTTGGGTTTGGACTAGTTTCCCAGATTCTATAGTTATGTATTCCATATAAAATTGTTGAAAATTTTGAGTTTAGCTTATGGTGTGTCTATTTCTTCCTCTGAATTTTACTTTTAGCGCAAGAATTTGGGGCTTGGACTTGTTATCCAAAATCTATAGATATGTCTTCCATAGAAAAATGTTGAAAATTCAGGGAAACTAGTCCAAACCCCAAATTCTTGCGCCCCTAAATCTGAAGAATTACATAAATATAGTGTAATTACTTGCTTATGTTAATGAAAATTTTCATTTGTTTAATTTGGCTTAGGAGTCCTCGATTAGGTTCCCCAAAACTATATTGTCTTTTGGACCGGTTACCAGCTAACTATTTTCTGGGTTAATTAGAACCATGCTATTATAAATTTGATGATTCTGATAAACGCCACTACTCGCCTAAAAAGTGAAGGTGCCATTACAATTCATCAAGAACTTGAAATATGCCATTTTTTTGTACGCCCGCAGGCTTTGACCCACATGTAAATCGCTGTATTTTCGTATGAACCAGAATGCTCCTATGCTCTGCCTCCCTCCACTCGCTGACATGTGAGTCCTTGTCATCCCTTTCCCCATCCTTATTCCCCCACGGGACCCTGGAGCTCACGCTACCAGCCACCTTGTCGCACCTCCTACTAGTTCCAAGCCCGACCTAGGCCTACTATCGGTGGCCATGCTGCAAGTGCCGGCGACAAGGCTCATGAGCCTCGCAAGGAGGACGCCAAGCGTGGTCGTTGGAAACGGTGGCCATGCCCCTATGGCCGTAGACTAGACAACTCGAAGCCGGACATGACGCTGCCAAGGTGGTCGTCGCCCTCCCAATCCCCACACCTCGCTAGTCATTAGATCTCCATCTCATTGGGCCGCCGCCAGATCTCCATCTCACCTGGATCGCATTGGGGCTGGATACCATGGACGCGGTGATGGTCCAACCGTCCAGGAGGTGGCGGTGTGCTTGGGGAAGGCGCCTGAGCTGAAGCTAGAGGCGGAGGAAAGGTTGGTAGTGAACGGTGTGCGGGTGGTGACCATGGACTCGCCTGTCTTCTTGGGCGGACTCGGCGGCGAGCGTGAGGACGAGCTCAGAGGGTGACCGGGGGGCGCCAACCCCACGCGCTATCCAGGCTTGCTGTCCACCACTGCTATTGCGCGTAGGTCAAGAAGGAATAGACGTGGAAGAAAGTGGCATTTTGGTGCATACGAGAACACAATGGCCTGCAGATGGTCCAACCGTCCAAGTAGCCCATGGGCGTAGAAAATGGCATATTTCAATTTTTTGATAAATTGTAATAGCATCTGCCCTAGTAGGCGAGGGTAGTGGAGTTTATAATGGCATGGTTCTATTTAACCTTTTTGTTTTCTTTGCAGTGATGTTCATGTTGTCTTTTGCATCAATTTGAAAACTCATGGTGAACTTGGTTATCTGCTGCTAATTGTGACTTTGGGCTAAATCGCTGTTTAGCTTATATATCTTTCCCTAGATTATATGTTCATGAAGCTGTGCTTTCTGTTTACGAATTTATGTGTCAATGAATCTATCCTGTTGTCGAAGCACTGAAATATGTGCATTTACCTTATTTATATGGTGATGTATGTAGGGTCGGGTATGTCAGCCCAGATTTCCTTTTAAGGCCATTGGACACCTAGGCCCAATCATTCAAATCCGGCTATTTATTTGATTTTTTTGTCAATGTCACTATACTAGCACCCGATTGTTGGTCTTTAATTCTTCATGGAACCTGGGAGAGATGTTTTTGCTGACACTCGAATTTTGATCTGTTAGTCTGTAACAAGTATGAGCTGTTCTGGTACCGTTGGCCAAAATACAAGTACAAAACCAGGTAAAGAGACAGTCTAAAAGTC